ATAGTCAGCTTTGGAATACAAAGTATGCCTCTAAATAACTTGGCATTTAAATAACAGTTTATTTAAATACCTTGTGTAATAAAAAAAAAAAACATTGACCACAATTATGCAGTTGGAATTTTCAAATGTGTGCATTGAAAAGTAGTTTTGATTTACATTAATCATGCGGATGGTTGATCATTCCTTTAACCAATTGATAGAAACTACGTTTGACATTTATAAAAGGGATTAAATGTACCAGTACAAGTAGACGTCTGTAATTATGGAATATTCAGAAGATTCAATTTAATTGTTCGGCACTTCCAGAGGTTGACACATGTACATGTACATGTACATGTACATGTACCATACATGCTATATGTACATGTATGTATCAGCAATATTGTTGGAGAAAACAATTGCGTAACCACTTAATTGTGTGGGTGTGTGTGATATTTTTATGTGGAATTTTCCTTTTGATCAGTACATGGATCTGGTCATTGTCCTGAGAAGTGTATGTGCCATGTACATGAAGTACACAAAGTTTAGAAATTACTTCTACATTTTTTTGTGTGCCTTTTATTTACTTTGAAAGGACTTGAGAATGTGAACAAGAAATGAACGTACATAATATACCTGTGTAGCTTACATTCGTACACATACATGTATATGCCAGATACAATTGTTGCATAAAGGTTTACAGTGGAGCTTTTTTTTCTGGCTACATGTACATGTTTTTTCTGTCACTGAATAATTGTGTGTTTTATGATAGCTGGAGTGACCTTCAAACCGACAGAAAACTGAATATAACACCACAATGAGGACTGCAAATTATGTAGCAAACAAGAGGCACAAAATATATACTGGTATATTACAATGTATATTATTTAGTGAAATTGTATAATTTCTCTACATAATAATGCTTTGGCAGGCCACTTGTCCCACTTTAAAAAAAAAAGTGGCTACATATGTATAGCCCTTACATGTTTTTCAGTGGCTATAAGTTACAAAATTGCAACATATCGCAAATTTAAGTGAGGTTTTAAATTCTGACAGAGATTGAATTTTTGGCTTCGGTAGCTGAACAATGGGTTAGATATATGTACGTGGGTGCATTTTGAGTGCCAAAGGTGCAGGGTTCAAATCTCGGGCAATTTTTTTTTTTTTTTTTTTTTTAGAAAATATTCACTTTAAAAACTTTTGCTGTTTTTAAACCCCAAAAAATGCTATTGAAGTACCGCTAGAATTACTTTTTTCTTTCTGTTTTTATGGCTCTGTAGGATTTTAAAAAAACCAAATTATTAAAAGGAACTAAAGTCCGAGAACCATTCAGTTGACAACTGATATGCATTCACAACAGTCGACTTCTGTAAAAAAAAAATGTTTAAAAAAAAGCCCATTGTAGGCATGCTTTCTTTTTCAAGTGCAGCGTTCTTTCTGATTTTTGGCATACCAGTAGTACACTGGTGAACACCAGTACATGTATCATAGATCAATTCCCTGATCCATGATTATGATTTTGTCCAATCACACGCTTTCCCATTGGCCGACAGGTGGTCTCACAATAGCTGCACCTACAATGTATAGGGTCCACAGGTCAGGAACAATAAATTAAACTCACAAGTACCTGTTTATAGTAATGTGATCATATAATAATAATACTACTGACTGGGGAGATTACATTTCTGCACATGGGGATGTTCAGTGATTTAAAACTGTCTTGCATCCTAACACCAATTGTTTCAAAGATTTGGGGGTTTTTTACGGAATGTTGTCATTTCTAAAATTAGAAAGTATGTGTTCAAGTGTGTTTACTCCGAGGACTGACATTTTTTTTCCAGTCTTTGATTAATTGGAAATTCATGCATGTACTCTTAGAAAACGAGAAGGAATTGAAGTTGCAGTTGGAATTAATGAAGGCCTCTATTGATCTTGCTTTCATCAGCCATTAGCTCTTGAATTGCCCTAACTGCCCTGCCTGTTAAAGGAATGTACATCATTGGCTTTTGCTGTAATTTTCAGAAATGAACTACTTGAAGGGTTAGTATAATAGATAAAAATATTGTAACACTGACATGTTTGAAAAAAACCAAGAACAAAACCTTGGAAAAACCAAGAAAAACGAAAAATGTTCAGTAGTCTGGTTCCCTGACTCCACTAAGGATAAAATGGATCAATTTATAGATGCCGGAAAATTGTAAGGTAAGGGAACCAGTGTAGCTGGCCTGCACCCGTTCATGAACATGTTACCAATAGCAAACAAAATTTGGACTGAAAAAATGGTAAATTTGAAGCAGAAGTTGAAAAATAGTTAGGTTTTTTCCAACGGTGATCGGCCGACCACTGTTGGAAATGTATACAAAATACCAATTTCTTGAAAATGACTTCACACCAGGAGCCATAATTTTACAGGATGCTTTTGACTGTCATTTACCACATCCAAGTAAGGTATTTCGTAAAAACTTGATAGTTTTATTTTTCGATGTTTGCAAATGTTGTATATTCCTTTAAACTCCTCAGACTGGCAGTCTCACTCTGTCCCAGCACTCTATGGTTTTTATTGATTCATGGAGGAGTAATTTACAATGTGATACAATGTAATTTATAATGTGATACAATGTAATACAAGTTTTAAAAGGGTTAACCCATTTTTGTGTTTTTTTTATCAGTAAAGTTGTGTTACTCTTGCTCTTCAACAAACATTTTTTTTTCTCTTAATATATTTTCAACTTGTATTTTTATTCCAACTAAACAATTCTTTCTTTTTTCCTTGGTTTTTTTTTGGGGGGAGGGGGATGTTTTGCTTTGTTTTTGTTGTGTTTTGTTTTTTTTTTGGGTTTTTTTAGGGGGGGGGAGGCGTCTGCGACTGTCTGAAAAAAAAAAAAAACAAGGAGCCTGGTGAACTACCGGTAGCCTGCCCTGTGACAACAGAACTATTGTCAGACTGCAAGTTATTTGAAATTTATCAAGAACTAAAGCGTTGGTTCATCTTTTGGTTTCTCATTCAAAAGTGAAACTTTTATATTGTGAGGAAAATGGCAATTGACAAAAGAAGTTTGTTTTTTTGGGGGGGAAGATGAAAGTTGAATAGCATGGTAACGCAACTAAAAAAAAAAATTCCCAATTGTTAAAGGGGAAAATATACCGGTTCATACAGGTACGGTACTTTTTCCAACATTAATTGTGTGAAGAAAAAAAGATACGACTACCGGTAGTTTTACTCACAACTGCACAACATTTATCCTTAACAAATAATTTTTTAATAATTTAAGGAAATGTGGAAACTAACATTTTATTACATATGTTTAAAAAAAACTTGCTATTGACATTACTACATGTACATGTACTCTCTCTGTTTTGTTACTTTGGTACATCAAAAAATTTACTCCTAAAAGCATTTATCAAAAGCAAATCATGTTGATTGGAAAAATATGAATATAAGCACTTCTTGTCTATAATGATGCAACAGCCTACGGTCGTTCACTACACGTACATATCCACTTATGCCTCACATTTGTTATGATTATAAAAACATTACAGGAAATTGATGACCTGTTTTTTTATCTACTGCATATTTGATAAGGCAGTTTCCATCCATGTAAATGAATGGTCTGTTGTACAGATGGGGGGATGTACATGAAAATATCAAACAGGAAAGCAGCAGTGCTTGAGGCTTTTTATTTGTAACGATTTGGAATCACTTTGGTTCTGAAGATGTCAAATGAATTTTTTGCGAAATGAATTTCCATATTGATCTAAAACAGCATAAATAACCGTGAACAAAAGATTGGACATTAAACTTGGTTCTGTTTTATTTGCAGAAGTCTTATCTAAATGTGAGAATTAAATTTTAACCTTGGCCAAAAAAAGTATGTTTAGGGTAGCCTGACTTTTCTGATAGAACTGTCACAAACTTGGGCTGTATCATGTTTTGGTACAATAAAAAATATACCTCTGAAATTCTATTCTCCACCGTAAATCCAAAGGCACACTCTTTGTTATTTGAGTGTTAAAGTTGAGTGGGACCCGTTTAAAGTATAAATACCGGTACATACATTTATGTACATGTAGAAGCTCTGTGGTGAAAATGTAACCCTCCCGAATCTCGCAATAAAATTTTTTGTGAAACCTCTTAAAAGATTATGATGGATCTGAAAGGGTTAAGGTTGAAACAGCTGTGATGAGGATTTAGATTTGTGGAATAATTTATCAATTACTAATGTGGTATGCTTTTTGTTTCTTTGAAGTCTCATTCAAAAGTAAATAAAACTTCCATTGCTAGAAAAGTAGCATTTGAAATAAAAACCAAATAGTTGATGTTTTTGGGAAGTTAAAAAATAACATTGACAGTAGATCTTTTGAAATGTGTGGCTTCAAAACTCTCCAAAATTCACCCTTGCTGTAGCTTTTTCCTGTGTGAGTTTGAAATGGGAGGGGTAATTAAAGGGAATATACAACATTTGCAAACATCGAAAATAAAACTACCCAGTTTTTATGAAATACCTTACTAGGATGTTGGTAAATGACAGTCTAAAGCATCCTGTAAAAATATGGCACCTGGTGTGAAGTCATTCTCAAGAAAATTGTGTTTTTGTATAAATTTCCAACAGTGGTCGGACCGACCACCGTTGGAAAAACCTAACTATTTTTCAACTACTGCTCTAAATTCACCATTTTTTCAGTCCAAAAGTTTGTTTGCTATTGGTTACATGTTCATGAACGGGTGCAGGTCAGCTAGACTGCTTCCCTTACCTTACAAATTTCCGGCATCTATAAATTGATCCATTTTATCTTTAGTGAGTCAGGGAACCAGACTACTCCACCATTTGTGTTTTTCTTGGTTTTTCCAGCATTTTCGAACACAAAACTTCAAACATGTCAGTGTAACAATATTTGATCTATCATAGTAACCCCTCAATTAGTTCATTTCTGAAAATTACAGCAAAAACCAATGATGTAAATTCCCTTTAAAGCCGCCTTTTGATATAATTTATAACTGATTTTTTTCCTTCTAATTTTAGGATGAGGTTGTTGGAGTGAGCGGCAAGGCCATCGTCAGACTGGAGGACCTGATTGACTGGGTCTGCACTGACGTCAGGTGGAGCCGCGGCTGCCGGACGATATGCGAGAAAGACCTCAAGAAGCAGGACAGCCACATCAATGCCGGCCACCAACAGGTGGCGCTGTTTGCCCAGAACAGCGGGCTCAACGTCAGCGATATCAACAAAGAGAAGCAGATCATGGGTGAGATTCATAACTAAATTAGGTTCACACTACCAACTATGAAGTGTGTAGTATTTATGCCACCCAGAGGGTCCTGAAAGTTAAGGGAAGATACAACATTTGCCGACATTAAAAAACGAAATGCTCACATTGTCATAAATACCTTACTGGATTGTTAGGGAATGACAGTCTAAAGCATCCTGTAAATCCTGGCTCCTGGTATGCTGACATTTTCAAGAAACCTTGTATTTTTCCAATGCTGATCAGCCAACCAGCGTTGGAGAAAACTGGCTTTATTAAATAAAAATTTAAAAGGTGATCATTTTCACGCAGAAATGACTTACACTGTTCATTTATCTTTGTTAGTTAGAGCCTTTTTAAAAGACTGCATCAACAATACATACTTGAAGACCACATGAACTTCTTCCTAAATTTGGGTGCATAATTTTTCCTGACTTTATTATCCCCCCAAACAAAAAACACTGTTCGTCTGTCACAGCTGAGTCTGCATGGTTGATAACCGTTTTTGTAAATTTTTCACTGGTATGCTTGAGGGTGGGGGTGGAAAGGAACACATAAAATACTGAGAGGTTTTGTTTTATTTTCCACTGGCCCTTTAATTCTGGAGAGTGGTGAGCAAAATTTAAAAAGTAAATCTTTACGTAAGTAAGTCATTACATTATCATGTAGCAAAAATACAGATGGGTCATTCTACAGGGTGAGTCAAAAAAAGCGGAACCCAAACCCCAAAATGTATTTCATATTTAAAAAATATGTAGCACCAAAATAATAATGACTGGAAAGCCAATTTCAGAAACTACTTTCTGATGAAAAAATTACCGGTACTGAAATTGCTCAATCCATTCAAAGAACATCACCATTTAAGCGCAAATGACCCTAAAACCTGTTTCGTCCAAAAACAAGCAATTTATTGTGTATTCTGACTGTTTGGAGCAACAAAGAAAATGACACAGAATACTTGTTTCAACATCTGTCAACAACTGTAGTACTCAATTAACCCTGATTTATAGGCAAACAATATGATTTATAAAATCCACTTTTTTTAAAAGACGGGCCTTCAAAGCACTTTGTTGAATGTTTTAAAGTTTTAAACTAAAGGTTTTATCGCTGGTGATGTTTGAAGACAATTGTGACGACGATTCTTGAAATCTATTTTTGGACGAAAGAGGTTTTAGGGTCATTGTGTTTAAATGGTCATATTCTTTGAACGGATTGAGCAATTTTAGTAATTTTTGCATCCCAAAGTAGCTTATGAAATTGACTTTCCAGTCATCTTTTATTTTTTGGTGCTACATATTTTTGAAATTTGGAATATAATTGTTGGGTTTGGGTTCCGCTTTTTTTTTTACTCACCCTGTATTATTTAGGGTCCAAAATGTGGCATTTTCCTGTCCCTGTTTTGTGTTTTATACCTTGGTGCTTTATAATTTGCCGTTTATTTTTTTTTTAAATTTTACATGTCAGTACAATTGTAGGAAATGCCACTGCATACTATGTGCAACAGGACAATTAATAGGATATCCCATGGTCTGTACATGTATGTTTGTGTAGTCATCTGGAATGGTCAGGAAACTGGCCATAAAGCAAAGGAAATAACTCTGGGTTGCACATTGTAATTTTATGCTTCCTTCATTATGATGAGGTGCCCTGATTATGTGTGTAATGTGTTGGTGGTATATGACAGGAATGCCAACTGTGTGTGTGTAATATAATGTGCAGACACCTGTTGTACGTTTAGGCCATATTTGGTGATCAATTCCCCGCCATGGGGCAAGCAATAGATGAGTCAACACAACTTTTACTTCCCAAGTAAAACTAATACCGGTAGCCCTTCTTTGCATGTACATGTACCATGAAAAAAATTGCAAGAATTGTCTTATTTAAGTTATTTTCTTATAAAGTATGTGTGATTTGTCCTACATGTACATAATTTCTAGGATTTAACCCCCCTCCCCCCCCCCCAAAAAAAAATAATAATAATAAGAGAAAAATAATTTAAAAACACATAGGACTAATTAATAATTCCTGTATGTGTCATTTTTTAATTTTTTTTTACAATGAACACACAAAAGGTTTATTAAATGTCTATCCGGGAAATTTATACCAAACTATTGTCCAGTATTAAACTCTGACCACAGTCCTGCCTGTTGTCCACTGAAAAAAATCATCAAATTAAAAACTAAATTGCTGCTTTGTTGTTTGTTCTCTCAATTTGCCACATTGTCCAAGAAGTGACATCTTTATGCCAATTTTGTACTCCCTTGGCCAAATTCTTATTAATTGTAACTTTAGTACAATACTACCGGTACATATATATGTACTGGTATGTTAACATTAACAAACACTAATGTACCAAGCATTTGGCTGTTATGATTTACAAACTTCCCTGTTTGCTCTCAAATTTATAGTACTAAGCATTGGCATATCACTATATACCCAACTTTCCTCTATAAGATCCCGTTTGGTTTGCAACAGAGAAATTTGTTCTGTAAATGTACCGAGGGTACCGGTACTTTGGAAATGTTTTAATATAGGCACTTGTGTTGGATCATTGGCCCTTTAGCACTTGTAAAGTAAGTAAAGTCTGTCCTGAGCCAATGTGGCTCATCAGGCCGCGTTTATCTCCGGTTTCAGTAGCACGAGAATATTTCTACTCCCCCTGGATGGGATGCTAGTCCTCGCAGGTTACTCCCCAGCTAATGCCGGTACCCACTTATACTCCTGGGTGGAGAGGGGCAAGTGGGGGTGAAGTGCCTTGCCCAAGGACACAATATATGACCAGCGGCTGGATTCGAACCCCGGACCCTCTGATCATGAGTCACGAACCCTAACCACTAGGCCACACACTCCCCACTAGGCCACAGCACTTGTACCGGCATTAAATTTTTATTACATTGTATTTACGCCTCCATCAGTCAATAAAACCATTAGAGTGCTGCTCATGGGCCGTTCAAGGCGGTTTGAGGAGTACAGCCAGCCGGTTTGGGGCAGTACAAGGCTGAAGTGTATGCCTTTGTATGGGAACAATATCTTGTCACACGTGGGAAGTTTGCCCAGTATGGAAGTAGCCACCTTGGAGTAGTGAAGTGACCAGATTTGGCAGGTTAAATGTATATTCAATCATTTCAAGCGGTTTAAACATCCCCCTCCTTTCTTTGCTCCGCCTCCTGCCCGGGGCACATCCACAGGTTATGACGACGACGGTCGCGACAAGGTCATCATTCTGAACTACCCCCAACTACTGCCGCTACTGCGGAGCCCTGAAGCGCATTGAGCATGCGCAGGAGGAGTGGATCTCCCACATCCTGGTCCGGACCCTCGGAGCGTTCACGGTGCCGCACCGCAACACCCGCGTCATGTTCTGCAAAGACGAGTTTGACCACCCGACGTTGGGGTTCAACGAGAAACTGTGTGATCACTTAGGTGAGTTTGACAAGGGAAGCTGCATGTAACAGCCCTGTGCATAATTATGGAAATACCTTGAAGCATTATTAACCACTTAGCGGTGGGAATTATTTTTGCTGAAAATTTTTACTTTCGCAAAGGCAAAATTTTTCAGCCACATCTGATGTACAGCCAAACACTATAAATGCTGATTCGCAAGAGTCATTTCAACAATATTTGTACTACATTTCTTGCCGAAACCTGTTTTGATACTCCGAGGTGTGTACTAGAGCGTAAATTGTAAACAACTTTTTTCTCATTAGGTTAGGAATTGAACAGCAATAGTTTTATATGCCTTATTTAATTTATTCTTATTTTTAGTTTTTTTTTATTTAATCATATTATGGTGATATTTTTTTATTCTCCAAATTTGTGACAGCGCCAAACATGAAAGGCAGACCAAGAAAGAAGAAACTCAGTATCCGTAGCAACAGCAACGAAGATGTGTTTGGTGACTCAAGCAATGACGCAACTGAGCATGCTGAGGTAGGGTGAATTTTTTTTGGGGTCATCATGAAAATTTTGTCTCAGGAAAAAAACCAAGACAGGAATCTTGGAAATCCTAACACTGAAGTATATGAGGCGTTCTGGCAAATGAGACAGAACTGGGCAGAGGTCGAAATGAGGGTTTGCGGGTATGGGCTCCGTGTGCCAACAAAAGAGGGCGCCCTTTTACCTAGCAAACGACGTCCCATGGGTGGGACACATACATTTCGCTGGTTGACGCGCGCACCGTTCCTTGTGTGTGCCGCACGTGTACCAGGGGATTTCTACTATGTACACGCAGTGGCTGAGCTTCGCAGCAAAATATTGCAGTCAGGCAAGATGGCGTCGTTCGGTCACCCCCAACTGTTTCTTTCTTTGCCGGTGAGGGGGTTTTTGGGGGGGGGGGTGAACGGAGCGGATTAGGCAAGAGAATACATGTAAAATTCTCCTTGCAATGCTATTTGTTGCTCTTCAAGTCGGATATTCCGTTGACAAATAATGGCTGTTTAAAGTTTGCATTTATCAATATGTTAAAAGAGTAAAATACTGAGAAAAAGGCTGTTAAAGTTTTGAGTTTGTAGTCATGAAATGAAGATGCCAATTCTTTTTCCTTAAATACTTTTATTCCAAAATTTGTATACTATTTCATTAAAATACGTAATCTGAAAAATATCAAACCATTCCCCCTCCCCCCACCTACCAATATCTCTACCAGTGAATTACAAGGAGTTCAACGTCCATCAGCTCAGCAAGCTGGAGCGGAAGAAGCTGCGAGGCAAGTACCAGACCAAGATAGTCACGGCAAGGTCAAGACTGAGGTCAAGCGGGTCCGGCCCAAGGACGAGGCACCTTCCTGGCCGGCCTCTTCAAGTTCATGAAGGACCGCAACAGCCCCATCGACCGGGTGCCCAACCTGGGCTTCAAGCAGAGTGGATTGGACTGGCCAGTTCTAAAATAGTCTTGAAGTCATACAGCTACGGACGTGTCCTGGGCACAGACATTATGAATGAATTTTCCTTTTCCTTGATTTTGAAATTCGGTGTAAAATAACCCTAACCCCCTAGTACTTCCTCAGGACTACCCTGCTAAATCCAACAGAGTCCAACCGGACTTTCCTGTTCAATCCACTGTGCCTCATTTTCAGTTGTCCGCTGAATCCAACGGAGTCCAACAATGCGTTATAATGCGGTTCAGTTGCCTGCTGAATCCAACATTTTGCATGAGGAATGTACACAAGGGGTTAACTGCTCATCCAACAGGCTCCATCGGGTATGTGACATAGTTGGATCCTGTTGGATTCAGCAGGGTTAGGGATAATAATAATAATTTATATATTATATTGCGCAAATCCCATAACAATAATATCAAATGCGCATCACATTATTATCCCTGTTTATCAGGAATGAAACCATTCTTTTCTGCGTACTCGAGATCAGCTCAATTTGGTCTCTACCTTCACAGGTACCCATTTATACTCCTGGATGGAGAGAGGCAATCGTAGTAAAGTGCCTTGCCCAAGAACAAAAGCACCGTGTTCCCCGTCAGGGTTCGAACCCATGTACATGTACCCACGGCACAACGAGTCGAACAATTGCTGTAACCATTGGTTACGCAATATACAAATAGCTGTACGAAAGCCATACACAATTTTTGAGCTCGAAATTTAGTACACACAAAGTGGATGCACGAGCATGCTACATTGCGTGCGACAAGTTAGCGCTCTAGTAATCTAATATGGCTCTGTGGCGGAAGTCGCATCCATTACAAGTCATCCCAAGTCCTCACAAGTCCATCGCAAGTCATCCATTTTCACGTCAAGTCACAAGCTATTTGAAATGAACTTGTGTTAGACTCGACAAAACACTACAACTATTCCAAAAGAGAGAACAAATATCTTTCTCTGTCTTGGTTTTCATTTTGTGATGCCAAGTTATGGGGAAGGAGGATCACTCATTATTGTTCAGAAGTGAAGC